AAAGTCGCTTTTGAGTACGCTGATTACTAAATAGTACTTTTTATCCTGATCGGATACAAATTGGCAGAGCTATGGCCATCCGAAGGAGCAAAAGTGGGAAAATTGGGAAAACCCACAATTTTGTGAGGGTACCCCTAGGAAAAAATTCGAAAAATTAAAAAACCATATTTAGGCAATGTTTTGAATAAGGAAAGTCGCTTTTGAGTACGCTGATTACTAAATAGTACTTTTTATCCTGATCGGATACAAATTGGCAGAGCTATGGCCATCCGAAGGAGCAAAAGTGGGAAAATTGGGAAAACCCACAATTTTGTGAGGGTACCCCTAGGAAAAAATTCGAAAAATTAAAAAACCATATTAAGGCAATGTTTTGAATGAGGAAAGTCGCTTTTGAGTACGCTGATTACTAAATGGTACTTTTTATCCTGATCGGATACAAATTGGCAGAGCTATGGCCATCCGAAGGAGCAAAAGTGGGAAAATTGGGAAAACCCACAATTTTGTGAGGGTACCCCTAGGAAAAAATTCGAAAAATTAAAAAACCATATTAAGGCAATGTTTTGAATGAGGAAAGACGCTTTTGAGTACGCTGATTAATAAATGGTACTTTATATCCTGATCGGATACAAATTGGCAGAGCTATGGCCATCCGAAGGAGCAAAAGTGGGAAAATTGGGAAAACCCACAATTTTGTGAGGGTACCCCTAGGAAAAAATTCGAAAAATTAAAAAACGATATTTAGGCAATGTTTTGAATGAGGAAAGTCGCTTCTGGGTTCGCTGATTACTAAATAGTACTTTATATCCTGATCGGATACAAATTGGCAGAGCTGTGGCCATCCGAAGGAGCAAAAGTGGGAAAATTGGGAAAACCCACAATTTTGTGAGGGTACCCCTAGGAAAAAATTCGAAAAATTAAAAAACGATATTTAGGCAATGTTTTGAATAAGGAAAGTCGCTTCTGGGTTCGCTGATTACTAAATGGTACTTTATATCCTGATCGGATACAAATTGGCAGAGCTATGGCCATCCGAAGGAGCAAAAGTGGGAAAATTGGGAAAACCCACAATTTTGTGAGGGTACCCCTAGGAAAAATTCGAAAAATTAAAAAACCATATTAAGGCAATGTTTTGAATAAGGAAAGTCGCTTCTGGGTTCGCTGATTACTAAATGGTACTTTATATCCTGATCGGATACAAATTGGCAGAGCTATGGCCATCCGAAGGAGCAAAAGTGGGAAAATTGGGAAAACACACAATTTTGTGAGGGTACCCCTAGGAAAAAATTCGAAAAATTAAAAAACGATATTTAGGCAATGTTTTGAATAAGGAAAGTCGCTTCTGGGTTCGCTGATTACTAAATGGTACTTTATATCCTGATCGGATACAAATTGGCAGAGCTATGGCCATCCGAGGGAGCAAAAGTGGGAAAATTGGGAAAACCCACAATTTTGTGAGGGTACCCCTAGGAAAAAATTCGAAAAATTAAAAAACCATATTAAGGCAATGTTTTGAATGAGGAAATACGCTTTTGAGTACGCTGATTACTAAATGGTACTTTATATCCTGATCGGATACAAATTGGCAGAGCTGTGGCCATCCGAAGGAGCAAAAGTGGGAAAATTGGGAAAACCCACAATTTTGTGAGGGTACCCCTAGGAAAAAATTCGAAAAATTAAAAAACGATATTTAGGCAATGTTTTGAATAAGGAAAGTCGCTTCTGGGTTCGCTGATTACTAAATGGTACTTTATATCCTGATCGGATACAAATTGGCAGAGCTATGGCCATCCGAAGGAGCAAAAGTGGGAAAATTGGGAAAACCCACAATTTTGTGAGGGTACCCCTAGGAAAAAATTCGAAAAATTAAAAAACGATATTTAGGCAATGTTTTGAATAAGGAAAGTCGCTTCTGGGTTCGCTGATTACTAAATGGTACTTTATATCCTGATCGGATACAAATTGGCAGAGCTATGGCCATCCGAGGGAACAAAAGTGGGAAAATTGGGAAAACCCACAATTTTGTGAGGGTACCCCTAGGAAAAAATTCGAAAAATTAAAAAACGATATTTAGGCAATGTTTTGAATGAGGAAAGTCGCTTCTGGGTTCGCTGATTACTAAATGGTACTTTATATCCTGATCGGATACAAATTGGCAGAGCTATGGCCATCCGAGGGAACAAAAGTGGGAAAATTGGGAAAACCCACAATTTTGTGAGGGTACCCCTAGGAAAAAATTCGAAAAATTAAAAAACCATATTTAGGCAATGTTTTGAATGAGGAAAGTCGCTTTTGAGTACGCTGATTACTAAATGGTACTTTATATCCTGATCGGATACAAATTGGCAGAGCTATGGCCATCCGAAGGAGCAAAAGTGGGAAAATTGGGAAAACCCACAATTTTGTGAGGGTACCCCTAGGAAAAAATTCCAAAAATTAAAAAACGATATTTAGGCAATGTTTACGCTGATTACTAAATGGTACTTTATATCCTGATCGGATACAAATTGGCAGAGCTATAGCCATCCGAAGGAGCAAAAGTGGGAAAATTGGGAAAACCCACAATTTTGTGAGGGTACCCCTAGGAAAAAATTCGAAAAATTAAAAAACGATATTTAGGCAATGTTTTGAATAAGGAAAGTCGCTTCTGGGTTCGCTGATTACTAAATGGTACTTTATATCCTGATCGGATACAAATTGGCAGAGCTATGGCCATCCGAAGGAGCAAAAGTGGGAAAATTGGGAAAACCCACAATTTTGTGAGGGTACCCATAGGAAAAAAATCGAAAAATTAAAAAACGATATTTAGGCAATGTTTTGAATGAGGAAAGTCGCTTCTGGGTTCGCTGATTACTAAATAGTACTTTATATCCTGCTCGGATACAAATTGGCAGAGCTATGGCCATCCGAAGGAGCAAAAGTGGGAAAATTGGGAAAACCCACAATTTTGTGAGGGTACCCCTAGGAAAAAATTCGAAAAATTAAAAAACCATATTTAGGCAATGTTTTGAATGAGGAAAGTCGCTTTTGAGTACGCTGATTACTAAATGGTACTTTATATCCTGATCGGATACAAATTGGCAGAGCTGTGGCCATCCGAAGGAGCAAAAGTGGGAAAATTGGGAAAACCCACAATTTTGTGAGGGTACCCCTAGGAAAAAATTCGAAAAATTAAAAAACGATATTTAGGCAATGTTTTGAATAAGGAAAGTCGCTTCTGGGTTCGCTGATTACTAAATGGTACTTTATATCCTGATCGGATACAAATTGGCAGAGCTATGGCCATCCGAGGGAACAAAAGTGGGAAAATTGGGAAAACCCACAATTTTGTGAGGGTACCCCTAGGAAAAAATTCGAAAAATTAAAAACGATATTTAGGCAATGTTTTGAATGAGGAAAGTCGCTTCTGGGTTCGCTGATTACTAAATGGTACTTTATATCCTGATCGGATACAAATTGGCAGAGCTATGGCCATCCGAGGGAACAAAAGTGGGAAAATTGGGAAAACCCACAATTTTGTGAGGGTACCCCTAGGAAAAAATTCGAAAAATTAAAAAACCATATTTAGGCAATGTTTTGAATGAGGAAAGTCGCTTTTGAGTACGCTGATTACTAAATGGTACTTTATATCCTGATCGGATACAAATTGGCAGAGCTATGGCCATCCGAAGGAGCAAAAGTGGGAAAATTGGGAAAACCCACAATTTTGTGAGGGTACCCCTAGGAAAAAATTCGAAAAATTAAAAAACGATATTTAGGCAATGTTTTGAATGAGGAAAGTCGCTTTTGAGTACGCTGATTACTAAATGGTACTTTATATCCTGATCGGATACAAATTGGCAGAGCTATGGCCATCCGAAGGAGCAAAAGTGGGAAAATTGGGAAAACCCACAATTTTGTGAGGGTACCCCTAGGAAAAAATTCCAAAAATTAAAAAACGATATTTAGGCAATGTTTACGCTGATTACTAAATGGTACTTTATATCCTGATCGGATACAAATTGGCAGAGCTATAGCCATCCGAAGGAGCAAAAGTGGGAAAATTGGGAAAACCCACAATTTTGTGAGGGTACCCCTAGGAAAAAATTCGAAAAATTAAAAAACGATATTTAGGCAATGTTTTGAATAAGGAAAGTCGCTTCTGGGTTCGCTGATTACTAAATGGTACTTTATATCCTGATCGGATACAAATTGGCAGAGCTATGGCCATCCGAAGGAGCAAAAGTGGGAAAATTGGGAAAACCCACAATTTTGTGAGGGTACCCCTAGGAAAAAATTCGAAAAATTAAAAAACGATATTTAGGCAATGTTTTGAATGAGGAAAGTCGCTTCTGGGTTCGCTGATTACTAAATAGTACTTTATATCCTGCTCGGATACAAATTGGCAGAGCTATGGCCATCCGAAGGAGCAAAAGTGGGAAAATTGGGAAAACCCAAAATTTTGTGAGGGTACCCCTAGGAAAAAATTCGAAAAATTAAAAAACGATATTAAGGCAATGTTTTGAATGAGGAAAGTCGCTTCTGGGTTCACTGATTACTAAATGGTTTTTTATATCCTAAATGGTACTTTATATCCTGATCGGATACAAATTGGCAGAGCTATGGCCATTCGAAGGAGCAAAAGTGGGAAAATTGGGAAAACCCACAATTTTGTCAGGGTACCCCTAGGAAAAAATTCGAAAAATTAAAAAACGATATTTAGGCAATGTTTTGAATAAGGAAAGTCGCTTCTTGGTTCGCTGATTACTAAATGGTACTTTATATCCTGATCGGATACAAATTGGCAGAGCTATGGCCATCCGAAGGAGCAAAAGTGGGAAAACTGGGAAAACCCACAATTTTGTAAGGGTACGCTTAGGAAATAATTTATTATTTTTTAATTATTACATAATAAATTTATCATATATTATAGATATATTAATTATTGGCATTTGACAACCCTGGCGAAAAATAAAATAATCAAATATTATATATATTTTAATTATTGCCATTTGGCAGCCCTGGCGAAAAATAGGCAAACAGCAGCTGTCAACCTGGGTGAGTGATTTGTTTGTCGAATATATATTTTTTTTTTACTATCGCTATTATCCTCCAGATAATGGCGGAGCGTGGCATCGAAGTGCCTATGCAGCCCTATGCTGGCGCTCTGCTCCTGATCAAGGATCTCCCCATTCCGGATACTTCGTCCAGCACATCCAAGGCTAGACCTTCATTTTTCAATCGTAGTTGTGTCCTAAAACGGCTATTGAGGGTTTTGGGCCAAGAATGCCCCGACGAGGAGTTCAAAATCGAATGTGATGATCCGCTTATTGAAGGGTTCATGGCCGGCTTGGAGACATTTATGAAGTTTACGGTTCAAAAGTCTATAGAGCAGTGCGAACATCGGACTAGCTATTTTTTATTCAACGACAAAAGGTGTATCATGCTGAACGAAATGCGACCGACGATGAACTTTCTGAATGATCTGAAAAAGGCCCAATGTGGATCCCCCGATGAAGATGATGACTTCCATCGCAAACGGGATTCCCGAGGTCAGAACATTCCCAGTATGAAAATGGATGCAATTAATACTACCGCTCTCAATGCTATTGGACGGAAGCCTCCTGTCGCTGGCCAAGGGGCACAACCCTCAGGTGCCCAACCACCGGGTAGTCTACAACGTATGCGAAACAAAAACGTAAACGTTCACGATGTGATGCAGTTCATGGCGGAGGAGAAGCGCTTTTCCAGGAGCAATATGCTTTTTTTAGCCTATTTGAAATATAAATAGGCCTTAAAAAATGAAATAAATTAAAATTCCTTAAGGCTTAATGCCTAGATTTCGTGTATAAAGAAGTGTCTATAGGCTATGCCTATAGGCGGGAGTATAGGATGGTATTTGTTTCTAAATTGTTGTTTAATTTACATGTTCCGGTTGGGATTTGTTTGTGTTTCCAACCGCAACGGCAAGTCCAGCAAGAAAAAAATTAGCGGGCAATCCGAGAGCCGGCAGGGCCATTACGGCTATTTTTGGCCGGGCACTCCATGGTGGGCCGATTGAGCAGATCGTAGATCGCAAATCGGAATCGGAATCGGAGAGCGATCGGGGAAAAGTCGGAAAATTAGAGAGTTTGCCATCTGCGGCGACGGTCAGTTGTGTTCCGATAATCATCCGGCGGAGAGTGAGACACTTTTTTTTTTTTTGTTTTTTCATTTGGTACACCTAGTTTTTTATCGGAAGAGAGTTGCGGTTATCCAATCACGAAATGTCGGAGCAGCCAAGTGAGAATCCGGAGGAGCAGCGCCCAAAGATCCAGCCGATGCAGCAGATGACGATAAGTGCCTCCACCCAGGAGCTGGCCGAACTGTTAGACCTTCATTTGGGGGATTTGCGGCCGCGGGACCCGGCCTGGCAGGTGGCGGACTCCCCGATCTCCGGGCGGGGCATCTTCGCTACCAGGGACATAGCGCCCGGGGAGGAGCTCTTTCGGGAGCACACTCTCCTGGTGGGACCGACTGCCCATCGATCCACAAATCTGCGCACCTGTACCCTGTGCTATTGTTTGATTCCGGGGGACACGGATGTGGATGCTCTCTGTCCGGCGGGCTGCGGGCTGCCGGTATGCAAGGAGTGCCGTAACTCCGATCGCCATCAGCTGGAGTGCAAGCTCTTCCGGAAGTGGCAGCCTCTGGATACGCAGCGGATCGAGCCGCGTGCCCTGCGTATCCTCAGCGTGGTGCGCTGCTTCTTCCTGGACGAGCCGCAGCGGAAGCTTCTCTACGCCATGCAGGCGAATGCTGATCGGTACTACATAAAGGAGGTGCAGAGGGCGGCCGAGTGCTTTCATCACTTCCCCAAGGAGCAGGACATGCTGGACTACTTCTATCGCACCATCTGCGCCTTCAATACGAACGCCTTTGAGAGCCGGAGTCAAGTGGAAGGACATGAGGTCCTGGTGCGGGCCCTGTTCCCCCTGGCCGGGCTACTCAACCATCAGTGCACTCCCAACGCCGCCCATCACTTCGAGGACGGTGAGACGATCGTGGTATGCGCCGCGGAACGAATTCCGTCCGGTGCCGAGATCACCATGTCGTACGCCAAGCTCCTCTGGTCCACGCTGGCCCGGAAGATGTTCCTCGGTATGACAAAGCACTTCATGTGCCACTGTGTCCGCTGCCAGGATCCGACGGTGAGTCCGGAAAACTGCATCCCTTGAGGCAGTGGCGGAGAGTGTGTCGCAATCGATGCACTAAAATAGATGTGCTCGTTATACAAAGTTTTAAAAACAAGGGCGTAGTAGAGGAAGGGGTTTCAATTTTTGTGGCTTGTTTTAATATATGTATTTTTATTTATTTTTTATTTAATTTATTATTATTATTATTGAATCCCCTTTGGAAACTACGCCCCTGTTAGTAGCGTGTTTATGTGTTTTAAAGCCAAAATACGTCGGGTAATTAATCAAAGGCCAAGTGAATGATTGAAACAAGGCAGCTGGCCGAAAAAATTATTCTAAAAAATGTAAAATCATCTTTAAGGATTAACCCGTGAGTAGTGTTGAAAATTTACAAAAACGTTTTAGTTAAAAAATCATGAAAAATACTCACAAAAGAGTCAACTTTCTAGACACTTTCAAAACCTTGAAAGTTTTTCAAAAACAAAACCCATATTTTTTTTAACTAAATGACACTTGTTTGTTTTCATATTTTTTGCATTGATCTTTTAAGACTTTTACTTTTTGGCAAACTTCCAATTAAAAATGGAGATGCCACACCCCTTTTCTCCTCCCTTGCACCTTTTTTTTTACTAGTTCAAGTACTCCCATTCTTTATAATAAAAAAATACACAGATATGTATATAAAGACTAGCAACCCACTGCATTCATTCATTCCAACGCTTCAGCTGGCACAGAATTCTACAATTTTCTGTCAAAGATCGGCTGCCCTGCCCCGCCCTCTTTTTTTTTGTTTATTCCCCAAAAAAAAATCTATATTTTCTTTGACGTTGTTCAAATATACAAAACACATACATATGTATATATTTTTGCGCACAAAAATTCCTCAGAAAGCCGAAAAACATTTCAAATTTTTCGAGTATTTCGCTTGCCAGATAGTTTTCGTTTTCGAAAAGCGGAATTGGAAAGTATTTTTTCATTTTTTAATTAAAAAGTAATAAAAAATGTTATATATTTTTATATATCCATACTATTAAGAACTGGATATGTCGGGGATATATCTTTTCTTTTAAACTAAGAACTATTTCCAGTTTTAATTTCCTTCGATTGGGGCAATAAAATTCGCTTAAAAAAGTGAAAATAGATTTAAAATAAAGCCATGTGGGTGTGGAATCCGGACGGAGACTATGGGTTTATAGTGTCCCCTGTGAAAACGAGACCCCATAAAGGTTTACAACTGAGTTACGACTGTTATTTTCGGGGTTTGGAGAAGGTTAAGCTGACATGTGACAATGCGTGACAGTCGCGCCGGAAAATGATCCGGAAAACGAGGTAAGGGCCGAAAGGAGGGGGGGTAAGAGTAGTTGTTACCACCGGTAAATGGAGCCATCCCCACCTGGTCACGTGTCATGGCTCTCTCACCTGCTTTTTCCCCATGGCATTGTACCCAATTTTTTTTTTTTTTTTTTTGTGTCCCCGACACGCAACTTATTTTTCCTCGCCCGGCGATGTCTTAATTTATGTCCCAGCCACACGCACATTTAGCCAGAGTTCACTGTACAAAAAAAAAAACCCCAATATTGATAATGCCCGGAGAGATTGTGAAAGTGATAGGTTATAATTAATTTTAGTATACCATATAGAAACCTAATAATTATACTATTTTTCTATGGATTCTATTGAGTTACTTACACTGTTCCAAAAATTTATTATTTTAACTTTAAAAATGTTCTTATTTTTGGTTACTACATTTTTTTACAGTGCATTAATGTGGGCTAGTGCCACGCCTTTTATTGGTGGCATTGCATCTCGGCAAATAATTTTTCCAGCTGCTCAGATTGCCGAGGGTGATGGCGCCATGTGGGCTTGGATTGGGTTGGGTTCGGGTTTGGGTTTGGGTTTGGGTTGGGGGCTTGTCCCTCTATAGCTTCCACTTTATGCCATCCATAACCGCAGACATCACATGGCAGGGAAATGTGATAGACCAGGAGGTGGAGTACTGCCTCCTCCCGGGCAGATGGAGGCGCTGGAGTAGCCACTGATAGCCCATCCGTCGTCTGAGGTGTTTCGCCATATAAATTGACAGCGGAAAATGCTTTTTGATTAGTGAATGACTGGGCTGCATCAATGGTTCTTGCCTCTTGCCTCGTGCTGCCTCTGAGGTGCTGCCTCACACCTCCTCACCTCACCACCCCCTCCTCAAATCCAATTGAATGCAACAATGGGAACCACAGCAGCAGCAGCAGCAACAACTCAAGCACAAATTGAATAAGAGTCGAAAGCAAAATCCGCTTTGCGACGTCCCAGTGGCATATAGCACTTCAAGTACAACCGTCCCATTCCCGATTCCCATTTCTCTTCGATTTCTTGAAATTATTTTTGAGATGTTTGTTAAGATTCTTTATAAAAAGGTTAAGAAGAGAAATCAATTAAGGAGCTTAAAACAATATATACTTATTTTAAAAGAATTTATATCGAAAAGTTTCTCGATTCATAACTCCGAAAATAAGTTATGTGTTTGAGCTTTTTCCTCTCTTAATTATTCTTATAATTATTAGAAATCTTTATTAGTTAATTGTGTAATTTTTTTTAAATTATTCATCTTTTATTCTAAATATTAAAATTCTTCATTTTTGATTTTGAAAATCGGAACTTTGGGAAATGTGTGTTTTTCCCGTGTGCGTGTGCTTTTGGAAAAAATCATATTTGACTTTTGTCGTTGTTGTCTCCTATGGCGCTTGTTTTTCCTGTGGTTGTTGTTGTGGTTGTTTTTATTTGTTGTTTTTGTTGCTGTTGTTCTAGCCTCCCCCCTTTTAACCTCACCCTCTAGCTTGCTGCCTCTAATTTGTGTTTTTTATACCTCGTACTAGACTAGACTTAAGAGGGAATATGTGGATTTTATAAAAGTGTTTATAGATAGAATATTATTGATAATATTTGAAGAGTTATTGAGAGAGATTATAAATAGTATAGGTATATTAGTATAGTATAGAAAACTTTAGAAATTATATTAAGAACAAAGGACGAAGAAAACAAAGGTTCTTTTTAAATAAAAATAAGAAGCTCATATTCTTAGTTCAACTTTTTTTAATGTTCCATGACTAAAGGTCCTGCGACTTAAGAAATTGATCCTTTCTAGTATTCCTTCCTTCTAGTATTTCTGGTATATAATTCCTCCACCAAGTAATGGGTATGAATAGTTGCCATACTTACCAGTATCTTAGTGGCCCCCTTTCCTCCTGGTTTCTGCTGTATTTAATGCTCTCCGAGGGCGTCGGCGTTCACGTCATAAGCGTTGCTCTGGTTGTTGTTGTTGTTGTTGTTGCTTCTGGTCATGTTGTAGATATGAAACGTTTTGTTGTTATTGCTGTCTCACTAGCTGTTGCTGTTGCTGCTCATGTTGCTGCTGTTGCTGCCGGCATTGCTGTTGCTGTTGCTGTTGGTGTTGCTGCTGCTGCTGCTGTTGCTGCCGGCGTTGCTGCTGTCGCAGCAATTCCCTTGTAGACCGCGAGACATCATCACTCGCCGACCCAACGCGCGTCGCTCTGGTTGGCTCGCACTTCCGTCCGTAATCGTGTGTCCGTAACCGTAACCGTAACCGTATATCCGTATTTCCTCACCCCTCGCGGACATGGACACCACGGCTGCCATGGTGGCGCACATGGCTCCTGACAAGGACACCAGTGCCGAGCAACTGGCCGCGCTGATAGACAGCCATTTGGGTGATCTGCGCGAGGAGGAGCCCAACTGGACCATTAACTCCTCAAAGGTGGCCGGCCGGGGGGTGTTCGCCACCCGGAACATTGCCGCCGGCGAGCTGATCTTCCGGGAACGGGCGCTCGTCACCGGACCCACAGCCCGCAAGGGGCAGCTCAGTTCGTGCGTCTGCTGCCACCAGATGCTGCCACAGAGTGGCTTCCTGTGTCGCCACCGCTGCACCTTGCCCGTCTGTGCCGCCTGCTCGGATGCGGAAATCCATCGCGCCGAATGCGAACATTTCCGGCGCTGGCAGCCCAAGGACGCGGACGAGGAACTAGAGCAAGTGAATCCGCTCTCCCTCAGGATCCTGACAGCGGTGCGGGTCTTCCACCTGGCCAAGGAGCCGCGCCATCTGGTGGACGCCATGCAGGCGAATGCGGAGCGCGGCTACCGCCAGGAGATCATCAAGGCGGCCCAGTGTTTCCGCAACTTTCCCACCACGGATCGAAATTTCATGGATCAGCTATTCCGAATCGTGGGTGTCCTTAACACGAACGCCTTTGAGGCACCTTGCCGTTCTGGCGGCCATGAGGTCCTCCTTCGTGGACTCTTCCCGCTGACGGCGATCATGAATCACGAGTGCACTCCCAATGCCAGTCACTACTTCGATAATGGTACTCTGGCGGTGGTGCGGGCGGCACGGGACATTCCCAAGGGTGGCGAGATAACCACCACCTACACCAAGATCCTTTGGGGCAACCTCACCAGGAACATCTTTCTCAAGATGACGAAACACTTTACCTGCGACTGTGTCCGGTGTAATGATAATACAGTGAGTTCTGGATATATATTACTTCTTTTGGGGTTTGTCCTTTGGATGGGATTTCTATGATCTGTTTAGAGAGGGGAGATTGGGATTATTGAAGACTTGGTTATTTTATTCCCTGCTTTTTTGCTTTTTTTAATATTAACCTTAAAGTTGTTAAATTTTTTGTTGATAAACTATATATATATATATATATATATATATATTTAAATATATATAAATTTTAACAACAAAGCTTGGCTTTTTTAGCTTCCTCCTGAACTGCATGATTCCCGCTACTCCTCTTAAGGAAAAACCTTTTCCTTTTCGTCCTTACTTTAAATATTATTTAAAAACCTTATCAAAACCCCTTAAAACCCCCACTCTATTCAAAAAAAGCTACATATTTTCTGTCACACATGCCATATCTTAAAAATTCTCAAAAAAAAACACAACACACACAAATTTAATTTTACTTGAATTTTTGGCCAAATTTCTTGGCCAACATCGATGTCAACGTGGCACTCTCTCTTTTAATTTGATTTTCGTTTCGCGGCTGACTACATAATGTATGGGATATGGGTATATATATCCCAGAGATAGAGATCCATTTGTACCTACAAGCATATATAGCTATTTATGCTCATAATGGACCATGTCGAGAGCACTTTGGGCTTTTAGTTTTCATCTTTTCGGCCATTTGGCGCTTCTCTGGCCTTTGGTCTTAGCCAGTTTCTGCGGTCGAGTCGTCGGGATAAGTTGAATAATGGCCTCTACCTGCCACACAAATGCGTTTCCCTAATTAAATTAGTTCTATGATTTGCATGAGCCGCGTCCCATGGGCGCCCTAAGTGGCTCAAAGGGGGTCTGCCGACCATCAAGGCATAATAATCGAATTAATAGTGAATGGGAAGGTTAAATAGTGTTAGTCATAAAAAATTCTAATTAATACTTTAACAGCTATACTTAGTTTTTTTTTTAATTCTTTAAAGATTACTTTGAAATAAACAAAAGAATTTGTGATGGGGAATATATAGTATTCTTTAGACCTTCTTATCAGGAATATAGAAAAACAAATAATCCCAAGAGATAATAGAGCTGGAAATTGGAATTTAAATATATATAGGCTCAGGGGGCTCAGAATATTATTAATAAAAAATATAAAACTAAAATAAAAAAACAAGAATTTCAAACCCTATTACTAACCCAAACCACAAAGCACTTGAAAAGTTCTACAAGCCCCTAGTTTTATTTGGGGTTACTAACCTACCCACATAGACATCTATATAAATATATGCACACACCCCCTCAACAAAACCGAAAACCCCCAAAAATTTCCATTATGCTAATTTTGACCACAAAAAAAAAAAAAAAACAAACCTCGGAAACAGACGGAGGTGATTGAACCCCCTAGTAGATTTTCGATTCGCACTCACTACATAGCCTTATTCTGGATCATGTTTTCCAGGAGAATGGAACCTACTTGTCGGCGCTGTTCTGCCGGGAGCAGGGCTGCCGTGGCCTGGTGATTCCCGTCCAGACCCGGACCCTGCAGCCGGACTGGAAGTGCATCACCTGCAACAACGTCTTTCCGCACTCGAAGATGGCCCGATACCAGGACTTTGCCCTGAACACGATCAACAACCGGATCAATACCAGCAGTGTCCGGGACATGATCCACTTCATCAACGACCTGTGTCCGCGCTTCTGTCCCCCCTCGAACTATGTCCTGATCGAGGCCAAGCTGAATGTCATCTGGCGGATGACGCGCTTCGATCCGGAGCAGTACACGCCGGAGGAGGTGGCCCACAAGGATCGCTACCGGGAGGACATCCTGGCCATTCTCCACAAACTCGGGGCTGGCGAGTGCACTCTCAAGAAACTCATCACCGGGGAGATCCAGTGACGAGCCTGTGCCCTCCACTTGTGAATAATATAAATAAATACAATTTTTTTTCAATTTTTTTATGTGAGTGAGTGAGTGTTGTCGTTTGAGTGAAAGTGAGTGTTCTTGTTATTCTATTTTTAATTAAGGGAATACCAAAAATAAATATCTTAATGTATGTACCTAAAAAAGAATTTATTTACCCTTTCGGGAGATGCCTCTGCCTTTTTTTCATGAGAATATTTCTTTAGAAAGCCAACCAGCCTCAAAGATTTCTGTTCAGAGATCTTGAGATTTTCTTGACAAATTTTGATTTTTGTTTTGGCAACCAGTCGAGGAACAATTATAAATGTAATTTATTTAAACTTTATAAGCAAAACTAAAGAATGGGGATATTTATCAATGGGATTTCTCTTTCAAAGAATATACTTACTGGTAGTAGTAGCCATAAAGAATTCCTAAGACTTGCCTTGACTTTACAAAGTTTAACGAATAAAGTTTATTGTTTGGGTTTTCTTTACACATTTAGAGTATATATAAAAAAATACGTTTGATTTACAATTAGAGTTTAAATTTATATTTTATTTTTAGCTACAAAAAAAAAAACGTTTTTCTTCTCCAGCAACTTTTTTGTTCCCCATTTAGTCGTATACTTAGCCTGTTGAAATATTTAAAACCATATGTGGTTTTCCCTCGAATCGATTTCCAATACAACTCTACGTTTTTTTTGTGGAAAAGCTTTAATGGCGCATATATATATATATAATGGCTGGAGGACTATATACACGCACAGTCGTATCAGGATAACTATAATTGCTCTAGAACAGACACACATATCTTTTCTTTTACATAAATTATCTCTCATGATGTCTAGGGCCTTAACTAATCGTATGCAAGATGTTATATATCTTTATAGTTTATGGTACAAAAACAAAAAAAAAACAGGGATGGTTTTATAAAAAAAAAAAAACCGAAAGGATAGGGAGTCCTGTCCGGAGGATAACTAACTTAAGGCTAGGTGCTCGGCGTGATGTTTCTGCTCCGATTTACGGGCCTGGAAACGCTGGAGCGGCGGAATGACGAACATCACGAGGCCACTGATGGCTATCATCAGTCCGGCCATCAGGAATGCCGGGGAGTACGACCCCGTGAGGTCGAACAACCAACCTACAGATCACAATATTAGTATTATCTTGAGAGGGAAAAATCAAAAACAAATCTTACCTCCAATGGGTGGGCCGATAAAGCTGGCGATTCCCTGGAAGAGCAGCAGAAGGCCAAAGGCATTGGTGAGCTTATCGAGACCCAAGAGATCCACCAGGATCACCGAGGTGAGACCCACATAGGCGCCAATGGTGAAGCCAAAGACCACGCAATACAAAGTCAGGGTCTGATAGTTCAGGCACAATGGCACCATGGCAGTGGCTTTAAAAATAATTCACGAAATCAGTAAAGATTAGGAATAGAAATCTTTTGAATCCAATACTCACCCACACCGCAGGCTGTCAGGCAGACATTGTAGACGAGGAGACGATTCACCCAGGGCTTGTCCGAGATATATCCCAGCACTATCCTGCCCACTGTGTTGGCCACTCCGATGGTGGCAATCAGGTAGCTGGCCTCCGACTTGCTCAGCTTCAGGATCTCGGCATAGGCCGCCACATACAGGTAGGGGACATTGAAGCCGATGCTGGTGCAGAAGTTGGACACGGAGAAGATGACAAAGACCACGTCCTTGAGCAGCGAGAAGTTCATCATCTCGGCGAAGGTGTCGCGAGTCTCCTTAGAGCAGGTGATGCAGCCGCAGCATTTGGCTACTTCCTGAAGGGGATTAGAATAATAAAAGTATTATTTTAAATAAAGAAAATAAATGGTAAGGCCTTGAAGAATAATATGGCCTTTAAAAAAAAGAAGTTTCAAACTCTTGAAAAGACTATCCTTTCTTAGACTATCCTTTCCTGAAACCTCATAGATGGTTTCTGTTATTTATTTAACATAAATTATTTTACAAAACCTAAAGAGCACATACATAATATATTCAAGCAATCAGGGGGTTACTAAGTCAACTACTATGACCAACAGAAGCCCAAGCCCACGCCCATTTAAAAATAAATTAAAATAAGTTTTAAGCCCGTGCCCAGAATTAGCATGGAAATAATATTAAGTTTTAAGGGTAAGTGCTCCACAGCTCATGTAATTCAAATTATTTTTTCGCTAAAAAAAACCAAGTGATGAACAGAATGTGCCTTCAGTAGGAAGACACCACTTGAGACCACAAGTAGCTATACAGGACACACAGAATGTGCAACGTGGTGGAGTTCTTTGAGGACTCCGAGATCTTCATAACCGGCGGGTCCGGTGTGGTGGGCAAGGCTCTCATCGAGAAATTGCTTCGGTCCACCCGGGTGCGTCGGATCTACGTCCTGCTCCGGCCCAAGAAACAGTTTACGGCGGAACAGCGCCTCACCCGACTCCGACAGGCCACCATCTTCCATGTCCTGGCCAAGGAGCGGCCGCAGGAGCTCGACAAGCTGGTGGCCGTGCCCGGGGATGTCTCCCACCCCGGTTTGGGCATCCACCCAGAGTGGCTGGCCCAGATGAAGGGCGTGTCCGTGGTCTATCACTGCGCCGCCACGGTGCGCTTCGACGAGCCACTGCGGGTGGCCCTCCGGCTGAATGTGGCCGGTACCCTGGAGGCCCTGAAGTTTGCCGAGCAGCTGCCAAGGCTACGGATTTTCGTGCACGTCTCGACTTTCTACAGTAATCCGTATTTGAAGAGGGTGGAACCAAAGGTAGTACTATCTAAGATCTAGTTTTCTTCGAGTGTATTTCATTGGACTCTCCGCAGTACTACTCTTCACCCATGGACTGGAAACTTTGCCTGAGGCTTTTGGACGAAGTCCGCGATGATAATTTACTCGATGCCCTGACCCGCAAGTACGTACACTGAGAGATCCGTGTTTTGGGGAGTAATAAGTCCTACATTTTAGATTACATGTGGGTTTTCCGAACACCTACACCTTCACGAAGAACCTGGCAGAGTCCTTGGTGAACGATTACCGCCATCGGCTGCCCCTGATAGTCTATCGTCCTTCCATTGGTAATTATTATTTTTGGAAAAACAAAAACATCACTAAGGACTTCCAAATACGTAGTCCTTTTTGCTGTGGATGATCCTTCGCCTGGTTTCTCGCCCTCCCTAATGGGGGCCATGGGTCTCTTTGCTCTGGTGGGAGCTGGAATCCTGAAGACCGTCTACCTGGGCCGGGACATCCGTCTGGACATTACGCCCCAGGACATGGGCATCAAGAGCATGCTGTGCTACACCCAGAAGGGCTCGGACCTCTACCAGCAGAAGGATGCCCCCAAGGAGCTGCCCGTCTACATGTCCTCGTCCTGCACCCACGTCCCTCACACCTTCACCCAGGTTGCCGAGCAGATGGACATCCTTGATCTGTGGGGCGATGCCGCGTTCGAAAAGAATCTGATGATACCCGGATGTCACTACACGGACAGGAGGTGGGTGTACCTCTTCCTGGTCTTTACCAAACAGATCCTGCCGGCCATTCTGGTCGATGGTCTCTTGACGATCTTCGGCCAGAAGCCAGTCCTCATGGGCATCGTGAGGAAGGCCTATCAGACCCTGGAGGTTATGCAGCCTTTCATGTTTAATAATTACGAGAGTCCTGGCGTTACGGAGAAGGAGACTTTAACCAATGAAAACAAGGGGTAGATATTGATGTCCTTTTCTAGACTTTTCTTTTCTATAATATCCTTTTTCTTCCTTGCAGTACTGAGTTCCACTTGGATGCATTTAATCACCCGGATATTAATTCCTTGGTAGTCAGAGCCAGCAGGGACATGGTGCATAGTATTCGAACCCATTTACTTCACGAGGATCCCAGGACCCTAAAGCGATCGCAACGTATTTTGAAAATGTGAGTCCCGATAGAGGAATCTTCTAAGAATGATACTTTATCTATATCTTCCTTTGCAGCAAGGTTGTCCTGTACCAGGCTCTACGTCTGTTTCTGCTCTACAAGATTCTACGCTGGCTTTGGGGCAGTTACTTAAAAGAGTTCTTCTAAAATCTAGATTTAAGAATAACTTTCCCAATCATTTTTTTTTTTAATAATTATAGTTCATTCGTAGTAGGCTTTGCCAGATACAGAAGCATAACCCTTCCGGAGAAATATACTAGAAATAATTACAAATTATATCCAAAGCTTCTCTACAAACATAATGGAGTTTGCTATGGTGTGGGGTAATTGGCTGCGTAGTCACTATTCCAAGGAGTATAATAATGTCCAAATGGAGGACCGTCTGCTCCGCCAAATCCAGACACCATTAGAAGCCAACTTGGTATGCTATTTTTATTCAATGGTTGATCTTCTCGCTTCTAATCTTTGGCTTTTGGAATACCCTTCAACCAGATATACCTTGACGCAAATCCCGAGACTCTACCCAGCTGCTTTATAGATCTTCGCCATAAACTGAGAGCCCTGGGACGCTACTTGTGGGCTGCTTGGCTGAGACTTACGGGCTCATCGATAATAAGGGATTTCTCTTGGGTATGAGGCTATTACGGTTTCTTTAGAATATCTTACTTTATAGTTTTTCAAAATAAAAATTACCAAATGAAAAAGTAATTAAAAGGCTCTAAACAAAAAGACTTCCTAATCCTACTTCTAAGACCAATCCTTAACATCCTCACAACTCACCTGACTTTGGGATATGTTGTTGCTTTGACGCAGTGATCCATAACGCTTGATAACCCCCGAACCGGAGATGGACCTGTTCAGATCGTTCCTGGAACTCACATAATCGGGGATATTGTGAAGGGAACCCTGCAAAAAAAAGGTTTTAATAGAATATAAGATTATGCAAGAAGTAGGAGTATATCCAAACCTGGTAGAGGGCATCTGGGCGGTACATAGTGCCACTGGCACTCCGATGGGCATCCCTCAGCGGAGTCAGTTGCAACTGGCTGTGGCACTTACGAGCAATGTCATCGTTGCTGGTGCTCTTGGTCACCGCTGCGGCAGTGGGCGGGGTCACCAGGGTGGTGGGTCCCTGGCCATTGATGGCTCCATTCGAGTTGTTGTTCTGGAAACGATATATAAGGATTATAAGATCAGGATATCTTAATCCCACAACTCACCAGACTAGTGGGCTTCAGGTTGTGGCCCACACTATTGGAGCGACAGAGTCCTGCTCCGGCTCCTGTTCCAGCCCCGCCCTGCGGCAGTTGCAAGTACTGATCCGTCTTAGGTAAGATCTTCAGCGGCTCCAGTTCTGCCGGCGTGGTGTTCTCATCAATGATGGCCGACTTCTTGCCCAGATTGGGAGTACTCGGAGTATTGGGCGGCGTCTGCGAAGGTCCCACCTCCACTTCCAGTGGCCGGAACATTGCTCCGAAAATGATGCAGTTCAGCACGATCCCTCCGATGATTAGCATGGCTCCCCGCCAGCCAAAGCTCTCGATGAGATACTTTGTCAACGGGGCAAAGACAAAGGTGCCGAATCCCGAGCCGCAGACAGCGATTCCCGTAGCGAGGGATCTCTTGGCCTCGAAGTACTGCGTCACACTGACAATGGCCGGCAGGTAGATGAGACCGAAGCCCAGACCCGTGCCGAAGCCAATGGTGATGATCAGGGTGAGGACATTCTGGGCGAACATGCTGACGATGATGCAACTGGCTGCCAGAATGGACCCAGCAATGGTCACGGCTCGACAGCCATAGCGGTTCACAAAGGAAGAGCTAATGGGTCCTGGAAAGGAAGAGACAGGATATAGTCAGCCGATCTATCCAGCTAATAAGCTATTCAATAAGAGGAGAAAAGGACAGATCTAGTTCTAGATCTATAATCTAGTTTCTGGTTCTTAGAACCTCTAAAAAGATAATAAATATAGTTACTCACCCGATGAGAAGGTCACACCGACCATTATCGAGGCTATCCAGGCCGTATAACCTTTGCCCTCGTTGAAGTACTCCAGAAACTCATTGTAGAAAATGCCAAAGGAATAGGTCATGCCATCGGCTATAAAATAAAAGAGTATTCATTGGATTACTGATATTGAAAACCAAAAATAATTCGTTTTAACTGGATCTCCAACTGGCAGTTGTCATAAATCAGTTTAGTTGGCCAATTAATTACGTGCTTCCAAATAAAAAAAATTCATTTATCAGCCATTATGTATTAGGAGGTATAGTTATAGTATCGGTATAGTTATTTCGTGGCGATAAGATTATCACCTGCCCGTGGGCACTTGGACACAATTATCATCCAATTGATAGTTGCACCGCTGAAGTGGCCCAACTCCCACCGCGACTTCTCGTAAATTCATAGACTATATCAGTATATGAGTATATTAGTGGACCTTGTCGTCCGGGACCACGGCCCGGCTTAATCTTTCCGGTGCTAAGCATTTTGATTTCCAAAGATTAAGTTCCATCAGTTTTGGCCCAAAATATTTACGATGTCCCGCCGATCGAGGCGGGTTGTTGCCGGGTTAGTCCAAGGCAAATGGGACTTGATTTATGGCACTCCTAAAGGTGTTCTTGTTCCACATTTTTTGGTGGGAGAACTCCAGTCACTGTGGCTGGCTTTTTCCTCCCAAAAAAAGGGGAGAAGCTCACCCGGACACGCACAAAGTCACTGGACACAGAGTCATGTCGTAATTGAAAACTAAAACCAAAGGGTTGAGTTCTAAGAGGGGATGCGACTTGATGATACCTGGTCGAGGTCCCCTTTTTAAAGTTTTTATATTTCTTTTTCTTTAGGAGTAAAATTTTCTTAAGAAGTTTATAAAAGTACCGGGCTTAAATACTTTGATTTCTTAAGAGAGTAATTCTTCAATTCCTCAGCTAACTCTACTATTTCTTAAGCCCAGAACTTTCAGAAACTCTATTTATAGAAATTTAAAGAAACTTCTACTATATAAAAACCAAAATAAACTCTCAAAAGTACCAGGTATTAGTATTTGAAAACATAAACAGTTAGTCTCTCTCTAATACCTCCTCCATCATACAAAACCAAACTCCCCCTGGAATAACCTAATCCATCATGCCCCTTGAATAATTGGTCCCCCATACTTACTGACAATGTGGATCATAAAGGAGCCAAAGACCACCACCCAGCCCCATCCTCCGTCCGGCGGAGTGGGCTGTGGCTCCAGCTCCATTTCGCATGGAGCATTTTGTTGCTGCTGCTGCTGCTGTGATTTTCTGCGTGCCGGCGGTCCGTGTACCATTTTGTATGCTTTGGTGTGATGACTATAGCCCCCGGGCTAAAATACTCTGGTTACGTCCACACCAGGTCTCCTTCTCCTCCTACTCCTGTGGAAGTGGGTGTGAGCTTAATGCTGTTCCTAGCTCTGTTGCATGTTGCAAACTGAAAAATGAAGAACAGGCGAGAGGGGTTAGTTTTTGTGTGGCAATTAGCAGCTGTCTGGTGGAATAAAAACATTTAAAAAAAAATATAGAAACTAGAGCCACTGACTCGAAAACACGTGATGAAGAGGATGTTGTCTATTTTTTGCTAAAAAATTATTTTGTTTGGAATTCTTATCACGAAACCCAAAAGACAATCCAAAACAGATTGTTTCTATGGACACTTTTTTTTAGTCAGGGCGTTCCAAGACTTGTAGATTATTCGAGAGCTATTTCAAAAAATGGTTTAATGTCGGGAGCATAATTATAATAAAAAGTTTATATTATTTTTAAGTGCTGTTTGGTGTTAATTTGTTATCACCTTGGGTTATTAAAGTTATTAATTGCAGATGATAATATTTAGTGCTTGTTTTTAGTCTTGAGTGCCTTAGTGGTTTAGTGCTTTTTAATTAAATTAAAGAAATATATATATTGTTTTGTACAGGGTATAAGAAAGGTACCGGATATCATATACTAATAAGCTATTAATTCCCTCTTTAATTGTAAAACATATACAGCCCATCACCTCCATATATAGCTATTATTTCCAGAAGACTTTCGAACCGATTAGAAAATCCCCATGTCTAGGAATATGATTCAGCATCGTCATTGTTTGTGACAAAAGAAAAGCTGGGTTAGCATTGTGCCGATATAGCAAATACACTGTACGAAGGCAAATAAGTGTTAAATTTAGAACCGTATACGGGTCTATGGGTCTATGGAGACCCGGGATCATTGCACATCTCAAGGAAAAAGTGAACGGCGGAGGAGACCCTCGGGGCTGGATGGGGCGACGTCAGGCGAAGCTAAACCAAATCAAAGCGGTTATCAGGCTGGCGGGTGACCCCTTGAACTTCTCGGCCAACCCATGGACCTTACCTCGCCACCCCTCTTGCCCCTCCTGGCGCCGCCCCCCGCCTCCTGGTCCGTCGTACATAAGACGTAATCAGCAAAAAGTTATTTGGCAGATTCCGTTTACAATTCCATTGTCCGGCGATTCGAACAAAACAAAAACTAGGGGCTCCGATGGATAGAGAGGGAGCTACAGCCGAAGAGCGGGATGGGTATAGGGGAAAAGCAAGAGATGGAGATAGAGAGAAAGGGGAGGTGGGCCGGAGAATATCACGTCGAACGTGGCTTATCAGGCCTGGCTCAAAAATATATATTTATTTTTCTATATATATATTTTTATTTTATTTGTGTATATATAAAATAATAATTACGTCCGACGACTACGGCGGATTCAAGCTGAACTGATCTGCTTGGCGTTCAGACCCCCCAGCGATCAGTGTTTATACGGCGCAAGAATCACGAACACAAAGAAGTTCCAGGCACATACTTTAGATTATTAAAAAAAATAGTTATAATATTAAATTCAGTATACAATAATAGGTATACAAATTTTAAATAAATTTCTTAGCTTTTAAAATAAATAATTTTAAAGAATCGCTATTTTTGAAATATTTTCTAAAAGTTTTCTAACATTTCAGGACTTGTTTAAAAATTTTACAACTTATTTGGCTTGCCTAGATACTCATTTTCCAAGACCTTTATTTCTAGAAGCCTTTACTATTAAAATATATTTTTATAATTTAATAAATAATTTCATAAATAATTTAATAAAAAGAAAACATTTTTATTGTGAACAGACAACTCTAATCACTTTGTTGCCAGGTGTGAATTGTTTTCGTTTATTGTTTTGTGCTTTATTGTTCGAGCTTCTTCGGATATGCAGATATGGACCGTATAGGATATAATATATATACGAATAAGTGCATATATCTCTTGGTTGTTATTGCTGGATGAAATGTGAAAACAAAAGCGTAAAAGTTGCAACAATGCACCAGCAGCACCAACAGCGGCAGCTGAAGAAAAAAAGCAAATGATAATTGTGACATGATAAACGGAATCACACACTTTTTTCCAATGGAAATATCGGAAAGTATTTCATATTCATATGCCAGAGCCATTGTTTGTTATTCGAACAAGAACAAAAGCTAAACTCAACCTTAAATTGATTAAACACGAACAGGGGCGTAACACAAAGCGGGGGGGGGCTGTCTTAGAGCAGAATCAAATCACAACGGAAACGCATCTCCAACTCGATTGTATGATGATTCATTTTTATTTATTTGTCGGCTTTTCGTTCTTTTATGCAATCAGCAACAATTAAATCTTAAAAAAAAAAAGAAACAAATCAAATCTATTTAGCCCTGACATTCACGCAGTCTCCTCAGTTTACAAATTAAATCTGGCAAATCGTTAGACTTAATTAGAAAAATTAGAAAATGTTTACCGACAAAGGAAATATTGCGTATACGCCGCGTGGTCCGCCCACTTCCGAAAGCAACAAAGCAATTCTAGACACTGATTGCAGTTTACTCTAGTTTATACATTTAAATGGAAATGTTGTGGAAAAACAAAAAGATAATAAGCTACAGATATTCTAAGTTATGTTACAGAGGAGTAATTCATTATAAAGACTAAGTGTCAAGTTACCAAGTGAATTCTAATCGTTTACTGCCCATAGCCGCCCCTTTAAATTGTTTATTTCACACTTTATCCAAAATTAATCATCCATTAATATCATGAAACAGACTTTGCCCTTGACCTACCTATATATGAATAATTTTTGAAATATGCGCAATAACCAAAATGCAATATCAGCAAACATCATACATATATGAAAAGAATTTAATACCAATAGCAACCCGATTACGTGTTAGCTGGCTTTGTTTGGTTTTTGTGTCTTATTTTCTTGATTATTGTTGTTTGTTGTTGGTGCTAAAATGGTTCACAAAAGTCCATTGAACCATCCAGCAGAAAATAATAATCAAAATAACAAAAAATATATATCATTTCAAAAGTTATAGATAACACTTGCATGTCACATGCAAGGGCAAGGATGAGGGAACATTATGGAATATACATATATTTCTTTATTCCTGAATATATACAACACATATATTTAAAGGTATCCTTGCTTAAATCTTAAAGTTCATCTTTATTTCATTTCCCTTCCTTTGTCGGTCATTGGCTGAGTTTATTATGAAATTAATTCACTTTGCTTGTCACTAAATGAATTTCAGCTTTTGCGGTCAGAGATTTTTAATTGCTTTGGCCTTGCAGTTACTTTAGTGGATGACTTTCCCTTAGAGGGGAGGGAAATTTAGAAGGAATCTGTAACCAAAACTAAAATCCAACTTCCACCAAGGATTACCTGGTTTTCACACGAAAAATGATGAGATTTTAGAGGGGACAAAATTAAAATACTCTTACTAAAAGATTCTAGCTTTAAATATGACAAATAAAAAAAATAGGGTTTTTATTTATATAACATCTGTGAAATTATCTATTTCTAGCAAGGAAATAAGCTAGGATACCCAATTTGAAGACTATAGCTTTAAAAATCAGGGTCTAAAGCCGAAAAAGACAAATTGGCGGACACACGGACAGGCTTTTATAGACTCCTAAGCTGATAAAATGGTTTATCGAAGAAGTTTTAATAAAAATTATATACAATTTATAATCGCAGAAATGTCTTTTACAAAAATTAAGACCATAACTTTAAAATTAAGAGAATAACGGACAGCTATTATTGGCTTCTAACCAGATGCCTAAGGCTTATCAAAAAAGTTTTAATAAAGAAATATACAAAATATCTTAGACAAAAATATGTCTTTTATACAAAAATCCCACACTTTAACACAAAAATTGATAAATACCCTCGGAAAAGGGTATACAAATCTCTACAAAATATTTACACCATAAGCCCGGGACTAAACCCTTGTTTCTATAATGAGTGTGTAATCTTGCCACCTCCAATCAATCAATTGCTCAAGATTCTTGTCACCTTCGATTTAGTCAATAATAAAAATCAATATAAATATCGAAGACCCCTCCCAAGGAATCACGGCCACTTGTTGAATGATAAGGGGGATGAAGTATTTATAAAATCGAATGCACTTTCGCTTTCTTCTGAGAAACACACAAACAGCTAGCAGATAGAAGAACCAACAAAACCAAAAAACTAAAAATATAAAACAAAATAAACACCAAATAATGTTAAAAATAGTTTCAACATTTAGGTTGTGGATGTTTTTCTAAATAACTTTCCAGATAATTGCATTTCGGGAGATAGGATAGATGTATGTATATCTCTTTTCGAGTGGATGAGAAGAATTATGATTCTTATCTGATCCAAACGACTTACCTTTTGGCAATAATGCTTAAATGCTTTGCTTTTATTTCTTAATTAATTTATTGCACTTGACGCACTCTCTTTTTTATTAATTTTTTTTGGATTTTCAAAAGAGTTGTTGTTCTTGTTTTTTTGCCTGAGTTGGCGAATCTTTTTAATTACTTTGTTGACAATTTATGTTGTTTTTGTAGGTTACAGTTGCAATTGTCCGGCCATAGAGATTACGGGATTGCACGAGTTCAAAACCGTATCATCGATTACCAAAACTGCACGCGCTTTCTATAGAGCTTTTACGATACTCTATTATTTTTATGGCCTAACGGTTTATGGGGTCTTGTAATCCCTTTTCTACTTTATTTCATAGTTTCATATATTCTTGGGTGTTTTTGTTTTCTGGAAAAAGAATTCTTTTTTTGAATTTTAGAATTTTTTTTTTGATTTTTAGCGGGACGAGTCGAACCGAATTCGTTGTTAGCGGGCAGCCGAATAAAAATTGAAAAATGCGAACTCTGTGCCGTGCAATACGGCGGCGACTGCCAAGAAGAAGAGGAAGAAGCAGCGCTCGAGGAACGGCGACCACGAAATGCTCTCTCTCCCGACTGCCACTCATTATACGACCGCTCACCGCTCCGGCTAGAACTCTTATCAGTTTGGAGCATACAACAAAAACACACGGCCCAGGATGGGAGGGAGCGAGCCAGAGCCAGAGCCAGAAGGGTGCTCCAAAAAAGGGGGGAGTAACGGGTGCCGAGCAGTGGCGACTAAGAGAGGGACCAAGAGAGACACACAGAGTGATCGAATTATAGAAAATCTTATCAGTCCACGATTTTGTTCATATATTTTGTTGTTGTTTGTCATTTTTTGTTGCCATTTTTTTGTTGTCCGAAAGCAAATAACACGCCAATTTTGGTGGCCAAGAGGTTGGAGTGATTTGGCTTAAAGCGGGGGGTGGGAGGTATGGAGGGGGGTTTTGCTTACACCTATCTGGGCTTAGTGTTAAATATTAATTAACAAATTTTTGTTCGCCTTAAGCTTAGTGCGTGAAACGAAATCAAAATAAACAAAAATCGTGGGGACTATTTCTTTTTCGGATTATTGATACCCTAAAAAATATTTTAATTATAAGAAACTAGGGCTTAACAATTTTATTAATTAATATTAATTTAATATTTATTTTTTTTTAAGTTGGTTTGACCAAATCTCCTTTTTTAAATTGTATCCATGGGAGAAGTACAAGGCACAGTGGGCTTCAGACCCTAAGAATGTAAACAAAATGCCCTGAACTAGCTGAGAATGAAAGAAAATCTTTTAATTTTTTATTGGGTTTTAAAAATATATTTTTTGTGTTTTATAATACAAGTTTCTTATCCCTCAAAAATACTAAAACCACTTGAGAATTATAAAAGCCACAAGTCAATCATACCCCCCAAAGAATATGGAACCAATTAGAGCATACAAATATGAAACTTTCGCTTCTTGATCATGCCCCCCCTTTGAAACTGGAAGCTGGTAGAGTCATCGCATCTATGGATCAACATTGGAAATCGGCTAACACTGATCGCATAATTTGCTGAGCAAATAAATGCTATAAATACACATTCAAGACCCCGATCGGTCACAGGTTGAAGATGAATATTCTCATAGTCTAACCCGTGATCGGATCGTAATGCTGAATGCTGATGATCACCACCAACCTATCACTACATGCTATCACTAATAACCCCCTTATGAGTATTATTATTTAGTTAGGCGACAATATTGATAACCAATTGAATGGGCATATTGATAAGGCCGGAAAACGGGACTGGGAATTAATTCCGCATAGTGCCAGCTATTGCCACGCCCCATTTACAATTTCGATGATAGCACAATGGATTATGGATGGTGGATTCTGGAGCACCAGGGCTGGATCTCTATAGAATTCAACCCTTAATAATGTATGGCAATATGGGATACCTTTGATTTTAATGTCAAAATTTAAAAATCAAATGCCATTCAGACCTAAACTTCATTCTCACAATCATCTGGGAAGTAAAACATGTAAGTTGAAAATTAATTTTTACATATTTTATACTTTAAAATTTTTTTTTGGAATATTTTTTTTTGTTTTCCTAACTTTCAGATACTCTTCAGTATTGCTTTTCGGTTAGAAAACGTATATTTTAATAAATTGGTGATGGATCAAATGGACCAAGGATCTTCGGGGAATCTGGACCCGGAAGACGTCTTGCAATGGATCGACGCCCAGGACGTTCCACAGCTGGAGGACGAATCGCCGCCCTGGAACTTTTATGCCGATGAAATGCAGGCCAAGGCGGTGAAGTTGGCCGTGGGCTGCTGTGACAGGCGATTGGTCACCCTGGGCAACCAGACTGAGGTTGCAAAAAAATCAAATCCAGATGCTCCGAAAAAAGCCGCCGCCACTCAGGTCACCCTGGGCAGCCAGACTGAGGTTGCAAAAAAATCAAATCCAGATGCTCCGAAGAAAACCGCCTCCACTCAGGTGTCGGGTATGCCGAAGCGACTACGCAGGTTGCCGCTAAAAGAGCCACCAACACCAATGAATCTTGAGAAAATCTCCTGGGGTAGCCTGCTGAAGAAGGCTATCTTGGTCGGTTCTCTCTTACACAGTGCCTATGCCTTTGGAACGGCCTGTTTACGTGAACTTGGAGTTCTCAACTTATCCATTGCGGCGATTAAAGCTGGGTTGGGCACACAAGAGCCACCCTGCAACCCACTGCCCGGAACCGTGTGGAATCAAGTGGCGGCTAAGCTGTGTATCCACGGCTATACAAACTGAATCTTAATTCCGCTACTGACTCCCGGACTCTAGCACGCAAGCACCCGGGTACTTCAAGTTATTTATAAAAACACATCTTACTATTTTTAACCGCATTGGATGCGGACTCGGACTCGGACTCGGACTGGGCCACTTGTTTCAACTTCGCTATTTCTATTCGTTCTATTTCTTGTTACTCTCGAGCGAAGTTGAAACAATGCCCAACAGTGTTATGATAATCCCGAATCTCAGCCCACAACTCACCCATTACACACAGGGTCTACGATCCGATCCTATGATCTCCAAAAAATAAAATTAGACCCGAGTACCGAGTCGCTCTTCAAGTGTAAAATTCCATTGGCTTAAGCTTAGATATATAGTACTTCTGATCCGGTCTTTGATTCTAGACTATATACTGGACAACGACCTGTCTTATCAATGTCAAATACCTTTTAGCTATATACATATATGGATTAATTTCGAGGTTTTTTTGGTTGCGCCAGAGTGTTAATAGGTGCATTCACCAACCTCGTAATCAAACTTGATTGGAGAGTGCCAAGTGTATGAGGTTATGGAGGGGATTTCAAAGGTTCTACCTGGAGATAGAACTTTAAATTTCGGGAATAATTTAGTAGATCTATTAAGAGAATCTTAAAGATATAGAAATGAAGATAAAAACAGATAGATAAGTATCGCGTATTGATTCTATCTTTAAACCTTTAAGAGATATCTTTAAATAAACCATATAGCTTCAGATATTATAGTTTGTTTTTAGCTCTGAACCTTCTTAAGCTTAATTTAATATTTTATATTATGCAGCTTGAATTAAAACTGAATTTAAAATATTAATTTTCTTACCAATTCTTCAAAAAAACCTTTTATTTTTACCTTTTTATATCTAGTACCTGGTAATCCCCACGGAGGCCTTTCAAATCGATTATATTACCCAGTTTAGGGCAAACTATTGATTTAATTGTCTATGTTTGAGGCTCTGGTGTGGGGGGGAGGCCATTATAAGACAGAAGGTACTCCCCTCACCTCGACTGATTGTTGTCAAAGTCAGAAGTCGGGAAAATTGAACTGCCAAGGCGATGCCATAATAATGTGCCAACTTGAAAATGCATGCAAATGCAAATTAGCTGACAAAACGAGATTGACATTCAGAATATAACAAAAACAAAACAAAAAACAACTATCATCCAACGGCCATTTTGTTTTGCTGGCACTTTTCACGGCTTAAAGGACACGGAAAAGCGAGCGAGGAAGCGAGCAACACGAACTACATGCCGCATTGCCATTTTTCAGGCCGCAGCCTAAAAGCCGACTACATATATAGATGGTATAAGAAGAACTGGTTAAAAAGCCAAATGCCAAGTGCAAAGGCCGCGAAAAGTAAGCCTCCCCAAGAACGGGTTTGGGGCGGGCCGGAGGTCAAAGAGGTAGAACCGTATCTCAGATATTAGTATCTGTGTCTGTGGGGTCGTTTGCACTGCCGCCGCCTTCTGTTTAACATGCACTCGTCGTGGCGCTCGCGTTCTCGCTCGTTTGGGCGGCATTAATATTGCAGGCCAAGTCGATCCGGGGGGCGGGGCCTGTGCCCCTGGCAGTCAGATGGCCTCCTAGGCGGGCCAACTCCTTTGGCAACCTGTTGAGGCGGCAATCAGATATGCCCAGTCACTCAAACACTCAAACACAGACACATATAGCACTGCAACACTTTCTGCCTAAAAGGTACTGCAGTTACAGGCGGGGTGGGCCATATAGGGTCTTGTTAAGACAACTTTACTCTAGATATATTACGTATTTATATATTTTTTACATTTATTTTATAATTAGTATTAAGACTAGTAAGTTTATTCTTGTTAAGTATAGTACATGTATTATTTAAGAATTTTTAGGTATATTTTATAAGAAATAGAGTTTATTTAAGCATATATTATATGTTTTTAAGCAGTTTTAAGTTTATTTAATAAGAATTATATAGAAATTTGGATTCTAAGCTTATTTTAGACATTTATGGGTTAACCAAATTGTTGTCCCCCATAAGTATGCTATACTTTTTTTCTTTCCATAAGGACAGATTTTAAGATACACTTATCCTTTTGTTTACTGTAGGTTAAGTTTCTTATTAAAAAACAAAACAAATGAAATTTATTGTTTGTGTTTTAATTCCTATTTTTTATTAAATTGTTTTTTTTTACCCAAAAAACAACAAAAAACCATTTAAATTTAATTAGTCTTATAACAAATGCTGGCAATCATATGCGATCTATCTCTGTAATCTTGGATCTCGTGTCAAGTGCTAATTTTTCAGCCTCAGGTGTGGCGCATTTGGCCTCCTTCTGCCACGTGAGTGTGACAGTGTGTGTGACGGTATGTGTGAGTGTGTGATGGTGTGTGTGAACGCTAATTATGCACGGCTAATGAAAGGCATGCGCGCTCGACCGAAAACACCAGAGTTTACAGTAAAATATCAAAAAGAATTGCCAAAAACAAAGTACCAGGACATTATATTCCATTGAGAGGTAACACTGTACACTGTACTTTAGTTTTCACTTTCACTTCCTTGCTTTTATTATATTATCTCGATTTTTTTTGTTCAGCTCACTTTGTACCTTTTGTTTCCGCCTCTTTTTTTTTGTGGCAGAGCTGCACGTGGCGCGTCTCGTGTGTGTGTGACAGGTGGTTATATCGATGCACTGGGACAGGACATGGGCGATACACAGGATAATGGAGTCTCTGCTGGAGAAAGGTATCCGCCTTTTCGCACTGGCTAGGATTCTTGGGTATAAAGTCAAATAAACATACCTAAGACATCCTTACCAATCGAAACGGAGGATAGAGAATCTTGTTTAAGCTTCTTAAACTATAAAATAATAGATAGAATAGATTTCTTGTTATATAAAATATAGAAAAAGTTTTAAATAATATTTTATAAAAGAATTTTAAAATATGTTAGTCTTTGTCCTATAATTCCTGGAAAATACTAGATACAGGTTCCTGAAACTAAAGATTTTGCAAGCCTCTCTATAATATTTGAGTTCTTTCTTTTAAAAATGTACTTTAAAATATCTATTCTTAACTTTTTAAATAAATAAAACTACAATACCATAAAAACCCCATCAATAATATAAAAAAAATCCTTAAAAGGCAGAAAAGGATAAACATCCTTTATCCACAAAACTGACTATCTTGCACTCACCTTTTCTAATCTCTCATTTTTTCATACACTTTTCAACCGGCACGTGCTTTGTCCGGCTACCACATCCTGGTCGATCCTTGCAGGTCACGGACACAAGATTCTCAGATACGGAACTGTCAACGTCATCAAACCCAAAAAGAAATTGGGGTCCTCTCACTTTTAAAAACAAAACAAAAAAAAGAAGAAAAATGAAAAATAAAAATCGAATGCGGTCACGTAATTAATTGGCAATCCCACTTGGCAAGCCAACTCCGGCGGACAACAAAACGGCCGTAATTAGCGACCGTTGCGCCCGTAGAATGGCGAAAAAAAACAATGCCGCTAGCCGTAAACAGAAACCGTAACCGGGCCGGAGACCCGACCTCGACAGGATGATGGTGTTTGGTGTTTTGGTTTTGGTTTTTGGCCAGCCGGAGCTTTGCCAGCCGGTTTCAAAATGCAGCGCCGCTGCGTCAGTGAGCTTTGCAGGCTTTCCGTTGGAAGCTTTTTATAGGATATATCGCGGCCACCAAGGGGGTCACCAGTAGACCACCACCCTGCCACATGCCACCGCCCATCTCCTTGGCGTGGGCACTCGTTCAATCACGTTGCATCAGCACTCGAGGCTTGGGACTGGGATTACACGGCCATTAGAATCAAAGAAGAAAAAATATAATCATAAAGGTGGGTGGCACTTTGCCATCTGTTGGGGATTACAGGCACCTCTGGCGGGGATTACGTGTGAGTCCTAGTGTTCGTACACGCCAACGGGGAACTCGAACAGCTTCTGGCAACCACTTGTTGCACTTGTTCTTCCACCTGTTGGAGTCAATAGTCGGGCACTTCAAATAAATCCGATTAACGCGGACAACGGTTCAAGGTTCAAGTACGTGAAAGTGTAGAATAAAACAATGGACAGATCAAGCTATTCCTCCAAAAGATCGGATGAATATTGGCAGAGATATAGCATTCCCAAGGTCCATATTTTGATATTTCTGATTTTCCCCATTTTTGCAGGGGGTCCATCAGAAAAATTTGAAAAAATGGGATTCGAAATTTTATTTTGAGGTTTTGATGCAGAATTGTGGAGAATGAATCCAGAAATCGTTTAAGGTATGCCCCTCAAGAATCGGATAGAAATTGGTAGAGATATAGCATTCCCAAGGTCCATATTTTGATATTTCTGATTTTCCCCATTTTTGCAGGGGGTCCATCAGAAAAATTTGAAAAAATGGGATCCGAAATTTTATTTTGAGGTTGTGATGCAGGATTGTGGAGAATCGTTCCAGAAATCGTTTGAGGTATTCCTCTTCAGGATTGGATTGATATTGGCCGAGATATAGCATTCCCAAGGTCCCAAGATATAGCATTTTATTTTGAGGTTTTGATGCAGGATTGTGGAGAATCGTTCCAGAAATCGTTTAAGGGATTCCCCTCAAGAATCGGATGGATATTGGCCGAGATATAGCATTCCCAAGGTCCATATTTTGATATTTCTGCATTTTCCCCATTTGATGGACCCATCAGAAAAATTTGAAAAAATGGGATCCGAAATTTTATTTTGAGGTTTTAATGCAGGATTGTGGAGAATCGTTCCAGAAATCGTTTAAGGTATTCCTCTGAAGGATCGGATGGATATTGGCCGAGATATAGCATTCCCAAGGTCCATATTTTGAAATTTCTGATTTTCCCCATTTTTGTAGGGGGTCCATCAGGAAATTTTGAAAAAATGGGATCCGAAATTTTATTTTGAGGTTTTGATGCAGGATTGTGGAGAATCGTTCCAGAAATCGTTTAAGGTATTCCCCTCAAGAATCGGATGGAAATTGGTCGAGATATAGCACTCCCAAGGTCCATATTTTGATATTTCTGCATTTTCCCCATTTTTGCAGGGGGTCCATCAGAAAAATTTGAAAAAATGGGATCCGAAATTTTATTTTGAGGTTTTAATGCAGGATTGTGGAGAATCGTTCCAGAAATCGTTTAAGGTATTCCTCTGAAGGATCGGATGGATATTGGCCGAGATATAGCATTCCCAAGGTCCATATTTTGAAATT